GTTTTTGGCCTAAATGTCAATTCAAGACATTAAGAATGGATATATTGAAAACACATCAATTAATTCATTCATCAATAAAACAATTTAAATGTGATTTTAATAATTGTAATAAAAGTTTCAAAGATATAAGAAATCTCAATCGACACAAAAATATTGTTCATTTAAATGTGAGATTTATTTGTGATTTTAATGAATGCCACAAAAGTTTCAATGACAAGAAAAATTTATTTCGACACAAAAGTTGTGTTCATTTGAATGAAAGACCATTTGTTTGTAATTTTAATGATTGTAAAAAAAGATTTATTCAAAAATCTCATTTCAATGAACACATGAAAAGGCATTTAGAAATAAAAAGTCACAAATGTATTCACAATAGTTGTGGCAAAATGTTTGTAACAAATTATGAAATGCGTAAACATTTTAACAATATTCATATTTATAAATAAGTTTAAAAAAACTCTGCAATAATTTTACAAATTATATCATTGTTAATTTATTAAAATAATTATTGTTAAATTAATTATAATAGTGTTTCCAAAAGCCATCGCAAGTAGTATTGAATAAATTATTGAAATTATGCCACAGTTTGTATGGATTAAGTTCTTTGGCTTTCGGCACATAATCTTTCACTTTATTATCAATAAGTTTAGGCCAATCGACAGTTGGTTTTCTAGCAATACAGAAAATAATTTATAATTAATTATAACATTTTGAAATAATAAAATTCTACAAAATTCTTACCCATATTTAGCGAAATCGGTCCACATTTTCATGACATCCCGACTGAACTGTTTGTCTATTTCTGTGTCGGTTTTCTGTGGATAAATAAGTGGTAAACCGAAAACAAAAGGCACTTCTTCGCCATGAGTGACACCAAACATGTCTGGACCCGGTTTTGTAGGCGTCCTATGATATGTTAATTCATAGAAATATACATTACTTTCGGCCGACTGTTGGCCATAATTGACGGCAAACTGATGTGTCGGACATGTGATCATTAGATCGCCGAAGAGATCATTCAATTGCCATTTGACTGCTTCGGGATCCGACTTATTGATGGACGACATGTAAAACGTGGTAATATTGTCGGCGTTT